GGCAGTGACGTATCTACTTCACAGAAGAAGTTCCAACCGCGTATCAGCTTTAGTTCACCAATTCTAATCTTTCTACCGTTTTCCGCGGCAACTCTAATTAACTCAACCATTTCTGCAGTGTTCCCCTTTTGCCTGATTGTGACTTTCGGTATTGACAGTTTAACAGGGTTACAGACGCGTCGGATCCTTTTTTTCTATTTTTCGACTCGCCTCAGCGAGTATCCACCAGACCCTAAATTGGTTTCATAACATTCGACTTCCGAGTCTAGCACTTTCTTCTTGTGGAATCGATTTGACGTACGCTTGACGTGCCCTCCATGAACATAACTGATTTTACCCTCAAGGCGTACCTCTCAAGAAGATAGCGATCACAGCACAAGCGACTGTAGAGACATCGCAACTCTCATAGGAAATTATCATTGTGTTCCGTTTGGGCGATTGCAGGCCATATTTTTTACGTTACCCGCAGACTGGTAATTACGCTGTCGCATTCAGCCAACACATAGCTATGCTAATACAGAGATACGAACTGTGTATCTCCTTTATCTGTCCTTTTCTTTTTCAATCTAGAAATCTTTCGATCTCTTTTTCGTTTGGCCATCCGTGCTTTAGTCCGTGCTCGTTGAAACAACTCCAGTGCGCCACTAATAATAACCGTAACGATAGCTCTTTGCAAATATCGTTCAAATGCTCGTGTTTAGCGGTCTTTTCGCTCGTTACCGCGCCAAACGAATTAAATTGCCAACAAAAAAACAAACAAACAGGGGTTGATGTAGTGGACTTCTTACGATGGCTCGCCATTGTCGAGTGTGTTTTGCCTGTAGTATTTATGGGATATTTTCAAATCTAGCCGTTAATGCGATTATTTAGCGGCAGATATACCACGATTCCATGGAACTAATTAAATAAGATTGAAATGTCATTCTGTTTCCGCTACCTGGGCCTCTAGCTCAAGCATTGCAATTTACTCTTTTTCTAATGTAGTCTGCTCATAATCATTACAGCTGTAATCCACACCAGCAGTACCGCCAATTTTCAAAAATGAACCACTCGCCACACTATAAACTGCGCTTACCAAACGTTGCGATTCTATATGTTGGAACAGATGTTGGATGTTTTATAATGTCATGATGTAGAGGCCCTTTGCCATGTACAGCGAGAAAATATTTTCAAAGCCCAACCACGTCACACAACGTCCTGCGCAAGGCTTACATCGGTAATGATTGTTATATAATATCGTTTGATTTGTGCGGTCTCATAGGTTCCATAAGAAGAGAAAGAGCCTTGAAATTGACGGAACATAGTTTGTCTATCTATATCGTGATGATTAACTAAACGTTAAAAGACAAAATCCATGTATTTGTGAATTCTACTGTGTTGGTTTCCAGCCGCATGCGTTAGATCTTCACACAGAATAATTTTCTTTTATTTCTATATACAAAACTGAGCCTCTCACTTCGTTCAGGACCTAAGGGAGGCGCGAAAAAAAGCAATTTCCTATAGCGTAGCAATCTCGCCTGGCAGACGGCGGAGCAAAAGAAATATCACAAATGTTTATCTCATGTATAGTCCAGGTTGTAAAATATAAATAGATCCGCGCCTAGCTAGCGTTGTTCTTAGATTTATTTCAGAAGTTGAATACGCTGTTGCTTGTAACTACAGGGCCCCAAGTTGACACTTAGCTGATCCGTGAATGCATCGATCAAGTTAGTGTGGATAAAAAGATTTATCTCACCTGTCCATCTACCGGACGACCGCTGTTGGCCCATTACTCTTTGCTGCGAATCTATAGGCAACAATAGTTCACCACATGGGCAACCCAGGCTCGTAGAAATGTTCCTAATTTAAGGCAGGTCACGCCAGTGATCAAAGTACTTAATAACATATTTTTAAACCTATGCTATTTTCCAAAAATATTTTATAGGATGCACGCTCAGTATCCTATATGATGTTAGTAGCTTTTGAAATGCATTGGTAATTTGTCACCGACCCATCAAGCCCAATAGCCAAAGTCGATCAAGTGTGCTCTATCAATAATCCTGTCTATCGATAAAATTGCAACTTACTCTACCGATTCGTGCTAAAATCATATAAGAAAGAAATCAATTAGGTTGTTGCCTTTCGAGCCGCACACGCACCTATATCATCTCATTGAGATATTAAGCCTACATCTTGTCCAATGCGTACGAAAGAACTACCTGTCTCTCGCTGAAGCCCGACCACTTCTGCGCTTCACCGTGGTTCTGCGCGATCAGTCGCTCTGAGCTGAAAAGCTCTACTTTCTGCGGCAGTAATAAAATGTCTCCGATACGCTTAGTGCTCGATTTAGGTAACGTAGTTATGCCATACTGAAGTTTGACGATCTCACAAAGCCTATTGGGTTGACAAAGGTCAAGGAGGAAAGCGTAGTCGGATAACGCTAAACGTATACATAAACGCACCTAGATTAGTGTACGAAGGTTGCCCAAACGCAATAGCTTTTATTCTGATATATTCCTTTTTTATTCGGCATCCTGACAGGAAAGCTCTTCCTACTTTGCTCTTTGAGTATATGCTCAACGCTCCCTCAAGATCCACATGCCGCCCTTATTTCATACTTTAAAGCTAGGTATCTCGGACAGCAGAACAAAGATAATTTTTGGACGCTAATTATTCTTCTTTCACTGAGAACAAATACTGCCGAAATAATCCCGAACTGAAGTGAGATCCCTGTAGATGAGAATACTACTCCAAAGTAGTTTGTTAATTTTAAAAATGGCATGTTCGACCTAAGGGTTCACTCGACCCATTTTCTAGAATTCATCAAGGACCAGCTTGTGTCGTTTTTGGGGGAGGATAATGGCCAAATACATCGCATAAAGTTGTCACCATATTCGCGACAAATATTCTGGGTTGCATTTTTAGTTTTTAACGTTGGAAAAAGACGACAGGTAACAAAAATGCTGTTTATTGCTATTCGCCATACCCATCCTCGAGACAACGCGCGATGCACATGCGCTTAGAATGCAAAACGAAGGGTTTCCGCCAGTTCACCGGACTTAGCTATCAGCAGACGAGGTCTACGTGATGCCGCAGTACTCGTAGGTCTGCTTACCTGCAGCTAGAGGCACGTGTGACAGTTAGGTTTCAAAATCGGCCGTAAAGACACCTCGTTTCGTACTGGAAGGTAGCTGTTCAATACCGGTAGCAGAAAAAAACTCGCAACACGTTTTTGTTGTCAGACATAGAGTAAGAAAAGACAATGAACAAGTTTTTGTTAGTACTTTTTGAATAACTTGGTATGTAACTATGCTATATGTATTAGCGTGTCAAATCAAAAGAGAAAGATCCTTTCCAGGACATAACGAGATCTGAATATTTAACGAGTAAATCCATTTGCATAGCATATTTGAGTACTTGTCTATACGGTGCAGGCCAACCTAGAGCAGGCCCCTCTGAGCAAAAAACGTTGATCAGCATTTATCAGTCGTATTCTTGGGTCATGGTAGCCATCGGGAGAAAGCATTTCAATCAGGCGTTCTCACCAGGATAATAGAACATTTGTAGTGCTTTTGGCCTTAAACTTTACCAGTAGCCACGAACTGACGAGTGTTAGATATTCAAAGGGCACAGTGACATATATAAGAGACAGACTAATTACAGCCAACTATTCTTTGCTATTCGAAAGGAAGCCTCAATGAAACGTATACATTGACATCTAGCGATCTCAATGATGAACAATTCTGTTGACGTGAAGTCAAGCGACAATACGACGTCTTTTGCTAGGGTATACTTAGTTTTTATGGCATCATTCAGTTTTTTTTTCTTTGGCATCTAATGGCGCAAATGTACGATATTAAACTGGGTTTAATAGATTGAAACTGAATATAAGAATATGCGGTTCTACGTTAGGCCAATAACTAAGCCCTTTAGTCCTATCGGACTGCTAGTCAAGTACGTAGAACTAATTCGAACAATACGCACATAGCCGGTCCAGTAGCTACTTGGCTAGACAACAGCCTTCACAGCGGCCAAACAGCCGTTGGCTTCAACTAATGCCCGTATACGTTTTTTGCCGGCATTGTCGACACCGATTTTTCGAAAACTGTGTTCTTCATTGTTCAAACAGACTCGAATATTTCCACTCAGCTTTTCTGAACATCTACGATTTCTCAAAAAAAAAAAAAAAAAAAACGGCGACCCCGCTAGCTTTGTGTGCTGGTTAGGTGAATAAGGATTTGAAAGGATTTTCTCCGGCGGAATTGTTTGCTAGCATTATGGTTTTTCGTGTGGATGATATTTAACCTGTGAACTCGATAGACGAGAGTACGTGAAAGAAGATATAAATTTGTAGGCAGGATTCATATACTGTAGCCAAAGGCAACTTCTATACTACATATAGCGTGCAGGCGACACTAGCAATACAATAGACCCAAACGAAGCCCAATTATTTATAAACACGCAGTGTAGAACGCGGAAAGCACACAATGTTTAGTACTTTATTTGTATTAGTTTTCAATTATGATCGTATATCGTTTTTCAAGTTAAATCGCGATAAACAGTAATCAATGAAGCTGCTAGCCCCATGGAACGCTTCAGACGTCATCTTTAAAACGAATCTTATTTTCAATTTCAAATAATAACAGGACCGCCATTTCTGTCGCAGCCACACTTAGAATTTCAAAGACCTCTACTGCAAGCTCGGCCACGATCACGCATCACGTGATCGCACTATATTCCCAGTATCGTTCATATGATATCCTATACATATTTATACAGAGCAGTTTCTAACACGATCATAAGTCCCATTTGTCACTTATGAAATAGGTTTATGTTTATATGCCGGTAGCTAGAGAGTTTGCAGTGTCACATCCGATCTTCTTCACTGGACGACAGGACACACTTGAAGGCTCCGTTAGTTCTTGATGATGAAATGATCTACATCATTCCAAAGTATTGCCGCATGATTGGCGTTTCGTTATGTTATTTTTAACAAAATTTATCATGTAATTGTTTTTCAGCTGTAAATAATAGTCACAAATCAGTAATCGTATCAGGAATCCAGCACTGGCAGAACAATACGTGCCTTCGCTTTGAAGAGGTCGAAAGCATCGGGCGTCACCATATCCGTTTCCGAACAGATAAAGATGGGTGAGTCATTAATATTATACTGCTATAATCTTAGTAAGGTCTTCGTTAGTTCGGCTCTTATTACTAGCGTATAGTTACGATGCAGCATGTTTTCGACAATTCCAGACTACACTAGCTATTTAGCATGTAAGTTACGACGTCCTGTTCTGTTGAAACAAAAATGCAATTTATATAGAAAATGTTAGGTGGACCGTTTGATTTCTCAGTTTCATTAAGACCTTCAAAAGGGTTGACGAAATTGTATTTCAAGTGCTTATTTAAATCATATACTGTTAATCGCTAGATATGCTGTAGGCCCAAGAATCTCAATTAGTACCTTGTCGCCTATTAGTCTACCCAATAGCCCGCCGTAAATTTGCTGCAAGCCCACAAAAGCGTCACAGACTACTTACATGAGTCATATTGTGTTTATGTTACGTGTTTAGACCTTCCACGACTAATTTAGTTTTATGCTGTTATATCGATAATCAGCGCAATATTTCAATCCTAAAATCCTGCAGCTATCATCCAGTGTTATCCATGCTATAAATTTAAGCTTTGCCTCCGCGTACAATTGAAGACCAATAAGTGTACAAGTGCACACGCGGCGCACCAGATAGGCACACTTGCGCATCAGTTCTGATCAACCGTATCTATGGAAACAATTAATCATGTGGCCAAAATATGCACACATAATAGCGTGCTATTAGATCGCAGGACCTAATGGTCTTTCGCCAACTCGTGCTACCAATTCAACAAAACTCAATTCAACTTATTTTCTTTTTTGGGCATTATTTTCTTCGGCTAAGGCAGCGATCGGCCCCTGCTTGCCTTCTTTCGCCCTTGCCTTTCCTTTATTCTATCACTGCTATCGTAATCAGCGTAATAATCATCGATTCCATCAACATCCCAATACGTGTGGAAGATGATATTGTAGTTGAGCACCGCCCATTGTCGTAAATTTTTCTCGGTCCATGAATATGTGTACGCCTGTGCGCGTGTCTATGTTGGCGTGTGTACGCGTCTAGCTTTCCCGTTTGCTGATTCGTCAGTTTGATTCCCGCTTGCAAAGCTTCCATTGCGCCAACTTCCCCTTCCCAGTCATCAATAAACGAGAGGGCGGGGGTGCTCCCGCTTGATAGTCGTCTTTTAACCCGTTTCCTTGTCATCTTAGCCTCGTTCAGTTTGCTTCTTTTTCGTCGTCGTCATCACCTTCCCTATCATTAAACCGCTGCAGCGAAATGCGTGCCTCCTTGACAGCATACATGATTGAATAGTCGTTTGTTCGAACAACGAGGCGACATGTGGTCGGATCGTGCATCGTTGCGCGGCGGGACAGGATTCGGCTGGTCACCTTATACTATACTGCTAAGGGCAGAATATCAGTTCGGTCTTTTCGTGGTAATGGCATATAGTTGTAACAATTGTTCTCTCACCAATTATCTCAGCAAGTACGTTCATCAAGTCAGCTCACACGTGGAGGGAGCCGAATGCCGAACTTGGGCCCTAGCGACAAAGCTGGAAAGCTTAGAGAACATACGGCAGCCAAAACACCCTTGATCAGCCTCGTCCTCGCAGACGGCAAACGGACCTTAGTCTCTCGTCTGGCTGCTATTGCTGCTGACGCCAACGGCAGCAGCGGCGGCGACCGTGGTCACGATAGGTCATATTAATACGTACGGTTTTCTTATCCCCTACGTCCGCCCGTTCGCTCATATTCAACCCGTTCTTTTTTGAGATAGCAGCAGTAGAAGCTTCAAGCACAGTCTAGTGCAGCGCTGCGAGGTCCTGTTGGATGAACGCATTGAATCGTTACGCTTACCGTAGACTGATGGTAAACTTAGCGTCCTCAGGTGTAAGAATGGGCAGCGAGACAGCGTGCGTTTCCTTCGGCTGTTTCCGTTCCCGAGCTGCTGGTTTAGGCGCTTTGGTGCTGCGCTATCCTCCTCTGTTTCTGGGCACCTCTGCTAATGCTAAGCTGAGAAGAAAATGAGAACAATAACGACAGCAGCGGCTGCGGCCAGCGCCCCAGCGACGTCAAACAAGCTCGCGGCGGAGGCACAGCTAGCGGTCGAACCGTGTTTTCTATCTCTACATTAATTAGAAGGCGAAGGAAAAGGCGACAACGACGGCTCTTCCTTTACCAGACGCTAGTCAGTTAAACTTGTTAAATGCCCGAACCCCAAAGTGCGCCCCCATTTTCTATCCCTTATCGATCTTCGATAAGCCCCCTCCCCCCAGGTAAGCTCCAGTTCCCACTCTTCTTATACTACACCCGTACTATTCGCCCGGTTCGCAATCCCATGCCTAGTTGCAGACGTTTATACGAAAACAATAATACCGTTCAAATTTATCGGCAGCGCCGACTGGCGATTCCCTGTCCGACCACACTGGCCTCAGCACCATCGACATTACTGACCTTTAGTGGATAACATCTTTCGAGGGGCAGCAATGGCATAAGCAGTCCATGCGCCTTTTGACAACGAAATTTTCCCTTACTGGATTGGCTTAGGAGAAAATATTTTGTGTACGTGCGTTCGAAGCAGTAATAGTGGAGGTTTATGGTGGGAGTGCCGATAATGACGCTAACTATAATCCAGGCTAAAGTGAGTTTGAAGGATACAGAGGAAGTATACTTATACGGAGATTGATATTTATTATAGTAGCTTGATATATAATTGCGAAACGTTCATTTTTATCTATTCAACAAGGAATGAACGCGTTTCGTACGGTACTGGACAAGTTGACAGCTATCATAATGCGTATGTATTATTAAAACATGTCTCAAATGGCCAGGCTTCTACACACCAGCACTTCTACAATAGCTATTTGTCTAACAGGCAGTCGCGTTTTTCGTATACTCGTTTTTGTACTTTCTGCGGATGGCTAAGTAAGGCAAACGTTTAGAAGGACGACCTGGTTACAAAACATGTAACCAAAGCCACAGAAGATTAGGCCACAAAATGTCCAGCCTAAAAGCTACTATAGTGAACAGTCAGCACGTACTGGCTAACGGTGAGCGCCACAACCATTATATCACCCTTTTATTAACCCTTTGTCGCAAGAGCTGTGGTAAATATTTTCTTCTAAGTGATTTGCAAACAGATGAAAGATCGGCTTTGTTCTTCAGTTTTTCAAATGATGTATACACTCTATGGCACTGTTATTCCAAACAACATCTGCAAAGTCGAAAAATATTAATATAAACCACCTAAAACTGAATCACTAATATGGCTAACTGAACCATTAATAATACTTCGAAATGTCTCGAACCCAACAATCTATTATAGGATGTCATGCAGGAATTCAAATTTATGCGCCAAAAAACAAATGTTTATGACTAACGGTACAATCTGGTACCCATTGCTGCTGGCAGGCTTATCCGGCTAGTACGTTGAGTGCTGAGAATGTAATTTTATTACGGCGGTAGAACGTTTTCGAGACAGAATCTGTGCATCGCAGCTTCCTATAGTGCACAGATTAGCAGTGCGCAGATGGCGAACAACGTTCCTTTTTACTGTGCATCCTATTGTCACGGAAGTGTATATCTTTTTAGTATATTAGCACGTGCATAACCAATTAAATGAAGAACAGGAACAGCTGCAGCTGGGAATGATCCGCCGAACTGACGAACCCGACTCGGCAACTCTACGAGAAAAACGAGCCACCATCGGAGCTAAACCGACGCATCGACTTCATAATACAACCAATTGTAAACCAGACTGTCATCAGCTACCAGTCGCGAGAGGTTATTTCCTTGCAATGCGGATCGTCGCCATGATTTGCCTGGACAGAGTGAATGCTAAAGAAAGAGAGCAGTCACAGGGTAAAACAGGATCAGACAACTAATAGTAGCCACGACTACCCAAAAACCTTCCATGGCACGTTTGTACTCGGCAGCAGAACAAAGGAAATGCCAGTCATACTTTTTTGTACGGCCAAAGGTGGGGTTGCGCGTGAAACGTTGTCGGCTTGTGCGAAGAAAAAGGAAATCCCACATTATTATTCGTAGTCGTGCTTGTAGCTGGTCGCTCTTCGCAAGTTCACCATCTAGCCCCCGATGGGCGGACGAAGGGGCATTTGCAACCGTCCCCGATGCGCCTTGCTCCGTTTACTTCGATATCGCTGTTACCTGCTTGTTCCAGCACGTTTGTTGTTACTGCTATTGAGTTTGACACGACAACAGCCGGTGGCTGTTTAGTCGAGGCTGGCTAGTTACGACCATAACGCTATTATGGTGTCAGTTGTACAGCTCGTATATACGTGCGGTAATAATAGCAGTGGTGGTGAAGGTGATGGCAGGACTAGCAACAGGATCAGAAAAGATTATTGATTTCTTTTGCCCCAGCGGGCGCTTGCTTGCCCGAGGTGTCGTTTCTTACCAGCCTTCGTTGCTTGCTTTCGGCAGCGTAATTGAACGTCTCCTGATCAACAATTAGAGCCTGTAGCTTCTACAAGCACCATTTTTTGGCCACCGCCATCTGGGTACTCTTTTTCCGCCTTGGGGTCCCTCGATTAGAGTGCATTTGGATACGAATGAGGCATGTTGTTTGTGCTATCTGTCGCGTAGCTATATGTCTTAGAACAACGGATACCATATAGTCTACGTAGCATTAATTCTAATTTAAAATAGATTTTCAATTGTGGGATGCTTGTAAGAAGTTGGTTCTGGCCTTGCATTCGGAGTTTTAGGCTATGGTAGCGAGTTACCGAGGGGCACACTAGGTTCAGTAACTTATGGGCTTCAGTATAAGAAGAATCGTTCTGTGCTAACGGTCAGCCTATTGGACGCAATGCTACTGCGGTTTAAGATATGAAACTTGAAACATTTCCTAGAAAAGAGACAACGCTAATAATGACTATATCATTAACTTAATTTGCTTAAACGACACGGCATAAAGATTCTCCTTCTAGAGTTAGACCAGTATTGGCTATTTTGAGACTATAACAAAGAGTTTACAGTTTGAAAAACATGGTTTTCAATTAAACTTAAAACTACATTTTCTGAACTTGACAGCATATCTGTACGATATGATTACGTAGACATATATCTGAATTATATGAAACGTAGCGGAGGCGTAAATAGTAGCGTCTATTGGGAGGGGAGCGTTTTTGTCTAACAAATAAACGTTTCTCCGTCCCGACTAAAATTTGTAAGAATAAACAGTTGCTTGCCTACCGAACTGTTCACTCGATCTGATGAGTTCTGGCGTCCACAATTGCAAGCGCGATATTGCCATTAACAAATTAAAATTGCCCCTTTTGTGTTTGTATAATAGTTGCTGGTCTCTGATTGGTCGTACGATGGGCATTGCATCAATTCAAAGTGCAATTCTGGGAGGGCTAGTTCAGGACCTCGTTCAGGGGGAAGTCTTTTACCAGGATATTAACTTACAGCGTCCCGGATGTGTAAAGGTATGTATACATATCTACTGCATAATTAATCGCAGTATTTTTTCAACACGTTAAAGGATGAATGGGGTGCAAAAATAAATTTTCATTTCTAGTTTCAGTATGTCGTACATCACAAAACGGCAATCTTTTTAGACAAGATAAAAATTAAGGTAGGATGTAACCGCTTCTTGAACAACCACAGATCACTTATATACATGTTCATGGATGTCCTCAGGAGTTTGTTGATAAAAACAACTTCTAGGCTAGACCTGGCTTTAATAATAGCTCTAACTATTAAACATGTCATATAACAACCTCACACTAATGTATTCCCCTGTAAGATACGGATTCAAAAGTTACATACCAAGTTATATAAGTTCAGGACAGCCACACCAATATTTCCATACCGCTATCAATTTACTCCACGTCAGGCTATTCCTGTAAGTATGTTATAATAAATCCACGTAATGTATGTGCGAAACGCTGAACCGAAGTTGAATGGTAATCGACTCTCTAGCATATGATCGAGCAGCAACTAAATATTCATATAGGAAACACCCTAAACGTATCTGTCACAGCAAAATATAAACCGTGCTCCGTAATTTATAAATAAAATAATGCATAAAGGAGCCTCTTTAACCGTGATTTGGAACATGAAGAAGCGAAGTGCACACATATTGAAATATACCAGGACCGAACTTCTTCAAGTAACTCGATGTAAGTTTGTGTTAGCATACATTCTGCGTCGAAGTGCGCGCATTTTCCTACTTCCATCTAATCTAGATCCTGTAAAATTCATCCTGTTCGAACTATCCTTCCGACTAGGATTTAGGTCATAACAATATTGACTTTCTACGAGGCTCGTACCACCGGTTGCCTTCCTGCTGGTTTGACCTGACGTTGATGGAAACTGCTTGCGGGAATTGGTCAGAGGACATGAGAGAGTGAGGCAGTTTGAAACGTGCTTCTGAGAATGTAGGATTCCTTCGGCAAAAAACAATCCAACACGTCAAAAGCAATCACTCGATATAATGAATAGGATAGCAAATCGCATTGGGTTTATGATTTACATTGCGTGATACGGCTACCGTTCAATGACCGTATAATCTATAGTACCCTCATACGGAAGCGAGAATTCGTAGACATTCCTCCCTTTAACTGTATAAAACTTTATTCTCCCGCATTGTGAACACTCGCAGATCGTAATAGCTAAATGGCTTGCATTCAGAGGCCTATAAAAATAGGGATCGAAGAAAAAATGTATCTAAAATACAGCCAAGCTCAATGAATTTTCTGTTCCGTCATGTAATTCCATGTATTCCTCTATTCTATTTCATCAAATCTTTATATCGGTAAACGGCCTGTTCTCGTAAGCAACACTAAATGAAGCTTCTTAACGATTCCGACTCGCTGTCGTGTTGCCTTTGATAGATCCCAATTCTGTTTCTTGATGTAAAGCACAATTTTGAAACTAACATTCGCTGAATACCGATCCGCATAGACAGTTTTTGTTTTCTGCTCTATGTGCTTGCTGGTCTGAAATAAAGAACCAACCAAGATCGCTGCTTTCAAAGCAGATTTCTTTTCGTTTCACTGCTTTTCGCGTCAATCGAACTTCAATCGAAAATGTCTATGACCTCGGATAGTTTGCTAACACCCATGCTAGGTCGAATTTTGAACGTCTCACGTATGGCGGTTTGGGCGGGCTACTTCTATGTGGGCTTTGACACTGGGCCTTTTATGCAGACGCCTGTTGTTTCCCATTTTTAAATCGAAGCCCAGCACATATTTCGAGATTTCCCTATCTCACGGAATATGATAATCTCACATCAAGGAGAAGGCCCACAGAAGGCCTTTCTCTCGGTCAGGAGCAGAATGTTAGCTTGTGGGCGACGATGAGGGCGATGAAAAAGAAGACACCAGCGAAAATGACAGCAAAGTACCTAAAAGATGCAGGTGGAAGTGCGGAATACTAAAAGACCTAGTTTTGCCGGCTGGTAAAACAAACGCCAACGTTATGTAGTTTGGGAGGTCCGAGAAGCACGGCACCACCATCCGCCGCAACTTCCTTGATTTATTGGCACGAAACAGCATGGCGTAACATCTCGTACACCAGCACGACATCTTCTGCACATTTTTCTGTCGCGTACATCCTTTTAAGCTAAACCCCCGTTCCCCGACAGTCCCATCCCTTTAAAACTGAATATGCCTTTCAGATACGCTTTTCATGCCTACACATGTGTTCGTGTCACAGTCTAGAGGCCTGCTAGAGACTATTTGCGGATATTCGGACTACTATAGAATAAATACGCACCCATCGACTAGCAAGTAGTCTTATGTGCGCACTATGCACGCATATGAGTATTACTCGTGTATAGGTATTTGCGAGGCTTTTTTAGTTCCTTTAATAGGCGGAGACACGACGGTGGTCATATCAGCAATCGTCTTAGGTGACACGTATCTACAACACTTTCGGCAGAACCTGAGGATAGAATTAACTATAAGATGGATTAAAAGTCAAAGAAGCAATGTTGCTTAACACGATCATTTAAAAGTATACCTATGTATGCTCGTCTGTGTATCTTTCAGAATTCGAACAGAAGACGATTTTCATGGTGTCCGCTGTTCTTTTTTCGGTCAAATTACTTCAAGTTCTAAGGATATTAATAACAATAACATGTTTAGATTAAAAGAGCAAAGAGAATTTCTATGTTAACTACGTGATAAGCTGAGTAGACAATGTACAATCAGACATTGATAGTTAGCGTCAGTCAGATCACAGTCGATTGAGTGCCTGCGCAGCCCTCTCTGTTGCATCCACATGATGTAATACGGATCCACTAGTCTCGTGAAAAAGACTATCGTCCGCCAAGCTACGTATACATATGTAGCTTAAATTTGTTACATTATTTTCAAACGGGATCTCGAGTTTTGTCGCTTTCAATTCTCAGACCCTCTTGTATCTTCTGTGTATATATGGGTGGGCAATGGGTTCAACTTCTAACTGCAAAAAATTGTCTGCTTGCCTATGACAGGCTAAGGCGCCTTTGCGTCTCCTTCGCTATTCTGCCATGGGTAGGGGTGCACCTATATCGTATTTCTACATTTCGTTTGCAGGCAGAGCAGACATGACTGCAATCAGTCAGGGACAAAAGAAAAAACCACAGTCATTCTGAGCCCAATTCAGATAAAGCCATCTATTGTTGATTGCGTTCATTCGTTCGATAGAAGTTTACGTTTCCACAGGGGTTGTGTGCAAAATACCTTCTTCAATAGGCGGACTCTTATAGCATACACCGACATGATGGTTATCGCAAAAAATGCTGCTAGAACACCTATTATGTTTTCTAATATATGTCGGAAATTGCTATAGTGATTAAGACGAAGCTGACATGCCCGGGAGATAAAAATGGCATCAATGATTTGGGAATTTGAAACAGCTTCTGGAAGCCGTGTCGTGTCGCCTCGCAGTTGAAAGCAGCGTGAACATTGTGTTCTGGAAGCATTAACATTACCTGAAGTAACTATGCGTGCTATGTTTGAAGCTATTGTTATCTGTCCTAGTATTTGTAATTAATCCTCACCAGGTGTATAGTGAACAGGTCGGATGAGTATACACAAAATTAAAAACATTTATTGGGCGTCGCATCAAACTTTCAATGTATCTAGGCGTTATTTTACAAGTATTAATAATTTTAAATAGACTTACGGCACGTCTTTTATCCATCTTTAGAAATATGAATCGCTTAAAGCCTGCTCTGAGGAAGAAAAAGCAGCGCGCAGCATTTGTTAGGCTACTAGTTCTTGCTGGCTATCAGTTATGAATTGAGAACGGCTGACAAAGGCAATAAACAGGGAGTCTGAAGTAATCAGTGGGGTGGTCTCATGAAACAGTCGATGGGATTCCAGAGGCCTAAGACCGGGAGACCTTCCGCGCAAGCTTCATTCTCTACGAATAATAATCAGAATCAGATTGAAAGATAGATAGCAAACTTAAATCGACTCTGTACCTAGAAACGGGACTTGCAGGCCCACACATCTACAAAAGCGGACATATCCTAACGTTTGGGAGAGATACTATTTTCGTAATAGTTGGCTTAATTGGTCAGAGTACGTTCGGATTCTAAGAAATGCGCAGAATCCTAAATACAAAGCGTGCAATTTTAAGCAATAGGATATTCGTTGTGTCCTTTGAAATAATGAAATATTTTTTTTGAAATCGATTTTGGGCGTGCGTGGCAAGAACCTAGCTAACGCAATGGTATCGACCGATTTTGTCCTTGTTTTTGGGCATTTTACAATCTACTTGTGCTACTATTCATACATTTGGTATTATATTATTGTATATAAAATATTTAGGCCGCCGGTTAGAGAAATTTTTATAAAACGCGGTGCTAAGACAGATTCGTTGTTTCTCTCTTTCAATAGGGGCGGTAAGGTTGCTCGTATCGTTAGAGAGCGAATTGGTCAGGTTTTAGAAGAAGTTGCCATTAATGTTGACGTCAACCCAAACATTATATCTCCTCATAAGATTAGGCACTTTTTAGCTGCTCAGGTGCTGCAAAATGGGGCTAACCCGCGAATAGTTCAGGAATGGCCCAAAAAATTGTTCACCGGTCCATTGCGTAAACAATATATCAATCAGCAATTAGCCCTGCCTTTGCCCCACTGTAATCAAGTGAGCATGAGGATTCAAGGTTGATTTCTAAGCTGTTAGCTGAACATCCATTTCAACTACCGCTACCGGTTAAACCATGGGACAGCGAAAACGAGCAATCGATTACAGGACGTCAACGCTCTTTGATTTTTTGACCTTAACATTCCCATACGCTTCAACGTGTTTATTGCTATTACCATGGATACCGGAAGATGCATGAACGGATAAGACCCAACGCAAGTCAGCAATATAAGTATGCTTTATCGTCTTACAACCGGATGTGTCGTAATGGCTCATTTCAATAGTGACATTATGAATTGTGCGTATACGATTCCCTATTTGCCATAGTGCTAGCGCCGCGCTCGATCGCTAGGTTCGTTCATTTGGTCTGGAGTAGATGCCGCCTGGTATTTTATTTCTATTGTGCATGCATTACGGTAGAATGAAAGTGAAGCGAGAGAATCGGTTTGTAAGTGTTTGAAGAGGAAATGAGGAAAAGATGGAGGACACGCACACAGACTCGCACTTTTGCGCACAGCCGATATATCCTCTGAAAGTCGCGATAGTCCTACTGGCCTTTTCTTCCGATCCTATGCAATCTCTGCCTTGTACATTATCATCGGTACCGGAACCTAGTAGTCAGCCTCGCTCGACGTATGGTGGCCATAAAATATAGCAGCGCTAGGGTGAACGCAGCGAGGTATAACGGCACGTGGGTTTTTGAGGAAGATATTGTTCTCGCATAGGCTAACAAATTTTTATTAGACATTTTCACCAGTGTATGCGTTGTCTCACAGGAACAGAACCTTCCTTAGAACAGTTTTTAAGAGAAGAGACCTTTAGTGCACACAATATGTATATATGTATACTCATTTAAGGGTATAGGATTAATGTTTTTATTACTGTTTTTCGTAGGGCATATTCAATTCTCGAATAGCTAGCGACAGACTGCTGACAAAGTAATACTTGTGCAGGCAGAAACGTAGTGTTTCCCTGCCTTGCTGGGAAGGTTTATTGTGCTAATGTGCAAGAAAATAATATGGCACCGTGATGAAATAATAATATTGCGATGATGGTACATTGCTGGTGGCCAGTTGCATCCGGTGGCTTTGAAGAGCGTTAATGTTCCGCTTGTACAGGTGCGTAGACTTTGCCGTGCAAATGAGTCTGTCGGCCTAACTAGAACAAAAGTGGGCCCGTTCAGGAAAACTCATTCATGAGTTTTTCTATCCCTTTCATCACAAATGAATTTATGATGAAAAAATTTGATCAACAAGAAGCAAAAAAATGCCCAGGCTAAGTAAGCCTGCTTGGGTAGGTAGAAAGCGGTTGGCCGTGCTGCAGGTGCCGTAAAAAATAATTCACGCCGTTATTTGTCGATGAATCTGCTCCTCACTGCATGCTTAGTCCTTTTCTAGCTGTGTTTCACCATCTGAAATGGTGTTGGCTACTGCGTGTTTTATAATTTTCACCAAGACGCAATAAATTCTCTAATCATTACCTTTATTTTTCCAGTTTTCTGTGTTCTCAGGCATTCTGGCGATTACTCATTGATTATAGAAAAATAACAAGTCGTTAATAAAACGTCCGTCAAAATCGAGATCAACGAATGAACGAACGCCTGTTCTGTCGAAAATAAAATTTAAGATCCTTACGCTTTGGATGATCGCTGCTGGGAAGGGATAGAGGGCCATCGACACGAAGTCGCTAATGGAAACGCCAGTAAGAACTGTGCTGTACAAAAAAAAAGGGGAAACAGAGATCCCCAGACCAAGCAAAAGTCGAACTAGTGGCATTTGTTAAGTTCGTTACTTAATCATGGAGCTCGATGTTTCGATTCACTTCACGAAGTGCGCTGGGATGCAAAGGAAACTTACTTTCAGATGATACTAGCCGGATTAGTTCTGATTTAAAAGAGAAACAAAGCGAAAATGAAAAGGAACATGTTTATAAAATTGCTTTATCAATTGGCCTAACGTGTTCCTGTGTCGACTCTAGGTATAACTGAGCGCCTGTTTGAAATACTCCTAGCGGGAACAGTAATGTAAGAACACAATTTAAGATCAGCTCTGTTCATTGACATTGAGTATATATCAGTATAGTGAGACAATTGTTGGGCAGGACTTGGACAAAATACTTAAGCACATATGCGATTTCTGGCTACCGGACATTTGTCGGTCGTGAGCACATACCATTGGTTGACCTAACGTAATAACACGTGTTTTTCTGTTAAATGCATTGTGTCATCGTCGCCGCTGGTGGGTGTTACATACTGATATCACCAACGCTGAATGTACGTCAGGAAGGTACTGTAATACACGAAATTGGCCACGCCATAGGATTTTATCACGAACAGTCACGCAGCGATCGAGATGAGCACATTAAAATTCTTTTTGAGAACATGAATCCCGAAATGAGCGCGCAGTTCGAAAAAGCAGACGATCAGACTTTTGGCGTGCCGTACGATCTTGGTTCGGTAATGCAATATCCACAGTGGGCCTTCAGCAAGGACATTTATGAATTGAACACCATCGTAACGCGGGATCCATTCATGCAGGGTAGCCTTGGCGGAGATGTTTTGACCTTCCGTGATATGAAGCTGGCAAATTCGATGTACAAATGCAATGGTAAGTTAAATGAATCGAGTAACCCGTACGTCCATAGCGACTAGGCATCCTTAAGATTATTTGAGCTTACTTATTATAATTATTAACTTTAATATAACGTTTGATCTTATCATATATTATTATCATTTTTGACATGCTAAACATACGAGCTGCACGTTATAACAATTTCCGATAGTAAGCAGTTGTTTACGTTAGTAAGTATTTAATTGATCGAGAAAAATAAGCAGCGAAAAAAGAGGAGAGCAACTTGTAAATTTGGTTTATGAAAAAAGCTTATATCTGCTTCGGAAGTCGCAACGCATTGTTTTATTGAAATCGTTCAATGAAAAACATGGCTGACTAATAGCCGAGCAACGGGGGCATATTTTGCCAACGCTGTATGTGGTCTGTCTAGGGACAGCCTAAGATTGATTGCCAGTCGGTTTCGACGTTAATAACAGGAAGATCTTTAGGTTAACTTAAAATCGGGTTCTTATCATCTCGTAGAGTCCCACCTATTGCTTTAAACGAAACGTACTTAATTTCGACATGTTCATGTAGTAACGAAGATGGATGCAATTACGTGGTTGAATTGTCGATACGCTGTTACTGTCTACGTTCGGCGCAAGAGCAAGTTTTTTTCCCAATTTCTGTGAGGCTATCCTTTCTGTTTTTAGAGGCACATACGGCTATATCGAATAACTAGTTATCAACCGGAAGCGATTTAAATAACCTGTAGGTCCCACCACCTTCATCTGCTTAGGTTATACCATAATTAATACTGTCGTTCTATTTTCATTCGCTTGGTACCCCTGTAACTCATCTTCAAATGGTTTAATATGATGTTATCGTGTGTGTCCTTGAATAAATGTATCTGTGTTTGTAGGTGTTTTGCAAAGATGTCACGAAATATAAACATCTCCTACTATGTGCGTATCGGTAGATATCGATGTGTAGGGGGATACAGAAGGAAGTAGGAGGTTAAGGTTCCCGTGATAGTTTGGTGGGTAACGTATTCACCTGCTAATTTTAGCGACCCGTTGTAGTTTGGGGTCGAATTCGGGTATGAAGAGACTTCACTTCGTGCTGAGAGCCAGCTGTCTGGTGGAACGCTAAATGGCAATACCAGACGAACCACAGAGGTGAAGATAAATGCTTAGCCCAAAAAGTTTGTGTGAAATAAATCCTAGGATTCGCAGACGTCGCCGTTGACTAGAATCCTAAAAACCGGCACATTCTTATTACATTTCTGGGAAATGAACACCTAGGAATAAGTATTGATCTTTTCCAGCTTCCCCATCCTTGCACTGCAAAATATCGACCTATAATAGGTTTAAGCCAGTTAATGTTGATGTCTGAGGTCTTAGAAAGGGTAGACTTCAAGACTTCTGTAAAATTATTTAACTATTTATCCAGATTAAGTCCTTGTTCAACTTTCCGATACGACGTCTACTGTGGTTATTTTTTGCAACTTAATCCAGCATAAAATCCTTGGTGCTGTTTGATACAGAGGTAGCGGTAAACGAGATAAGCGATAGGTCTAATTCAGCTCAAATCAATATGATCGAAATTGACCGCTATGGGTACTTTGATTCAGTGGTACCTAGTTTTATAGTTTCACTACTAACCTATTATTTATACGTTATTATATGTTATTATTCATCTAGTTAGTTCGTACAGCCGTATCAGACCAGATAAGATCAGTTTTTATCATCCTTGACGAAATTCTAGAATTTTTCATAGTCAATAATCTTGATCTACGTAATTATTTTCCAATGGCTGGTGACTCTTAAATTTCCCGATTGTGACTGATTATACGTAAAAATCAATTACCCCGGTGAAATAGCACGTCCATTGTAGAAGCTGCCATTTGATAAATAGAACTGCTGGCAAACTTGCAGAGCAGCTGTATTTACCAAACTGTTTACAAGGGTTCCAGTCCAGGTTAGCGCTACATTCCGACCGTCACTCAGATGCAGAACGCTAGAGAAGTTCACTCTGTGCTTAGATTATATATTTTCACCACCCGTTACTAAATGTAAAACCTGGTAAAGTATTTGAAGAACATACATGTACTGAACGCAACGCTGCTGATATTGATTGTGTTCTTGTCAGTTGGTAGCGGATGAACAAATAGGACAGTCGTATCATTTCACAAAAAAAAAATGCCGTAATTCTGTGGCTTTTTCTTTTCGATTACTATTAGTTTTATCATCGAAAAGAAGCCTGTCGTCTACAGATATATAAGCAATTATCTATAGGTACTAGTGATTTCGCATCAACTTTACATCGAAATGTGTGCATCTTGTCAATTTGAAACCTTCTAGAGGATTCTGGAAGCTTACAGGACAGGAAATTCTTTTACTCCCATTAGCTCCTATTAGTTTATAAGTTTTCAAAATCGTCGTTAATGTCATCTAGTTCGCTAGTGAGCGCAGGTCGTAGATCTACCTGCTTGTTGGCCTTAGTTCCCGCTTTTTGCTCAAGCGTCGATCTAGATCTTTCCATTTCGGATCTTATAAAACACAAGCCTATCTAAGTTCCTTGCTGCCTGTTTACTTTCGGGTATTCTTTTATGCTTAATGACGTCTATAGATGCAAGAAGAGCAAGAACTTCGCACGGCGTTCATGGATATACGCTGGTTCGTCGTGCGCCGCCCTTTCGAGTCTTCTCTGTCTGTCTGCTGCACTGTGCCACTTGGATCCCTTGCTACCCCCTTTTACGAAACTGTTTCTCGCCAGTTAGACCCCCTAGATGGTAGTCCACTTGTCCATTTTCTACTTAGAGCGAAAATAAAGAAAGCACGACATTGCCCAGCAACTAACGTCAGCCTTTCTCTCAGATTTGTCATTGCCTTCTCTGTTTGAGAGAAGCTCCTTGTATACAGAAATGACAGCAACCGCCATAGGAAACATCCTTTCCTAGAGTACCTTTTCTCGGTTGTAGTGACCGGAAGAATTTAAACGGCCAGTGAGTATGCGTCGTTCAGCTGGCCCTTAAACCAAAATCGCTTTTTAAAGCTTCCTGTTCTGCCGTCTTCCGTTCAAGTCGCGCCCAGCTCTCTTATTTGCTGGCCTACCGCCGTCTTTACCTGTTCGAATCAGGTGTCTTGGCTTCAACCCTGACCACTACTGCAACTTTCTCCAACTCGTCTTCGACGTCGCCGAGGCCGTCCACGCTTGTTCAAATTCAGCGTTCACTTACCTTTCTCAGTTAATGGTACCGAGATCGCCACTAGTGGCACCCGCTTTAACACTATTAACGTTGGTCTGAATCTACACCGAGTATTGTGCCACATTCAAAGGTCGCACAAAGCGCTCCCACAGGTCCGATCTAACACGCTCTCCTCTTCGTTGTTTGCTCCTCTTCGTCCACAGTACCCAAGCCTGCTCTTCATACAAGTCTCACCCCAGCTATGCGATGTTGTGCGCTTTCCAATACTTCACCAGCCAGATAAAGAGTGGGAGCCATTGGTGCACACGCAGATGGCAGCTGAGAAAAGCTGACACGCCAAACACAATGATAACAAATGCCAGTGCTACCCTCCCGTAGCATTGGATAGGGAGTACGAATAGCTATAAGATGGTGCGCTAATAGATTTCAGAGTGATTCTCTAGGGAAACCCGTCCAGGTTTTTAAGGGCCCAAAACTTCACCACATGAAAACATCAGAAATATTTTCTCCAAGTATGCCCAATGACCTCTGTAAGGCCGAGCAGGGTCGAGGCGCGATTTTTTCGAACAGAAGACCAAAGGAAGTGCCAACGGGAAGTTGTTCTCTGCAAATGTCGAAGGCAGCGGAGCAGACAATACTTCGTCCAGTTAGCCTAGCATTGCCATTCATTCGTTACTGGCGTGGAAGAACCGAGGCGCGGCTTTGGCAATGGCATCGAACGAAGCAAAATAGCTTCAGATAAACGAGGCAGAATGTAGAGAGAAGGAGCTGGAACGATGGAGCGGTAACCTCTTATAATATCCAACCACCACGAGCAAGCTGGGAGAAGTAATGGTAGTCTCAAGATCCCTAACCTCCTATTTTAATGGGGGACGAGTCGGCTAATACTTCCGTGCCTGGCTACCCTGCCCGCCTGCATGAAACACCAATAAAACGACAAACTGTACCATCCCCGAACGTTCTGGCTACTTCATGTTACTTCTATCGCCAGAAGATGTCTGTCACTGCTGTCATCTGCTCACTCAGTCACCACTAGAGTTTCGAGTTTTTACTAACGTATTGAAAAGGAGAATTTCAAGATAAGATGAAGCTGGTAAAGAGCATAGAAAAAGAAACGCAGGAAAAGAAAGAATGAAAGAAGCACTGAAGAAGAGGGTGAAAAAGAAATAGACCAAAAGCGTCTCGTTCCATTTGTCGCGCGTACCACAAAGCGAAAGGAAGGGAAAATGAACGGGCGGGCTGAGAGACGAAAAGAATGAAGAGCGACCAACCGAGGACTGTTGCCGTTCCCGCAGGCTGAATGCCGAGGGTGGGACAGCTGTCCTATGAAGGCGTCAGAGGCGAAAGAGCAGAAATAAAAAAGAAGCAACGTAAATGGAGAACTGAGTTTCTATATGGAGGTCAAATCTTCACTTCGGTGACGAAAGAAGATGACCGGCCACACTTTACTTGCTTTGATTTATCCTGCCACTGCCAGAGAGACCCAAACCAGACGCTGCTATCTCGATGGATTCTCCTCGCAGCTTGCTACTCCAAAACAGTACGGCGATTTCGTCTGACAAAAATCTTGACGCTGGCGCTACTCGGTACCGAACAGAGGCAATGGCTGCTCATGGAGCTGCTGGCACTGCTGAGATGGTAACGGTGGCACCATTTGAGAAGTGCAACAGTATTACGTACTCTGCTGCAGTGAAATACACAAGTGTGGCTGCCTGCTGAAGTTCTAATTTCGGGAGATGAATTCTCGTTATGCAAACAGAACAAGAGAAACAAAACGTCTTTGTTCTTTTGATTCCTAGTAGACACAAGCGCGTAAAAGACGTGTGTAACGTGGGTACTACCAAAG